GTACTGGCGCTGCCCGGGCCGCCGCCGCCGCCGCCAACAGCGATGAAAGCGGCGCGGCTTTAAACCTCCGCGAGTGCTGCTCCCACACGGAACCGCAGGTGGCTGAGGCTGATAAGGAGGAAGCGCCTATGAATAAGGAGCGTTCCTCAGCACTGACGTTACCAAATGCTCCTTTCTGGGACCGACTGCAACTTTATAAAAAAAATAAAAAAAGAGGGTAGCTGGTTACTGAGGTATTCAAAGTAGTCTGGCAACTGCCAAAACCAGCCTGGGGTAAGCCTTCAGAAACCAGTTTCAGACTGCGGTCCCAGAGGAAAAACGTTCCCTTTGTGCAATGAAAATTGTTTTACAGTTGTTAGGAACAGAAGGTATTTTATCCTGAGCAAGCACCATTTTCCTGACAGTCATGCATGCATCCAACAGGCCAGTATTTATGAGAAGTTATTTTACAAACCATGCGTTATCTTCATCTGAGCCCGCACAGGAACTAGCACAACAATACTTCGGCAGGGTATGCTTGTCTAGAACTTAAATTTTCAATCACGTAGCATGTTTTGTAGCCAATTAAAATACTATATTTTAAAAATCGACTTCTTAACGCGGCCCACACTACACTGTTTCTTATCCCAAACTAGCACAAGAGAAATTCAGAAGCCAAGAGTATCCCAGGATGACCACCATGTCAGGAAAGGGAGTTTATTCATCCGAGTCCAGGTCGCTGTCTCCTGCGATGGAGTGAAAGTCCTCACTGTCCTCCTCATCCTCAGACAGGTGGACCTGACTTAACACGCTTGGCCCACAGCGCTGCTGTTCCTCCTCTTCCTCCTCTTCTGAGATCTCGTACCCTCCAATGCTGCTGAAACTGGTATCTCTGGTGTTGGATTTTGGGTCTGGCTCTTCATAGCTGCCGTAACTGGAAGACAGAAGATGCTGTTACTATACCATCGTTTCAAATCGGCTTCTGCTACCGACAGTTCTGTATTTAACTCCTGTGAAAGGTCCCCGGCTTGAAGTCCTTGTGGGACACTGGGAACCACTGCGTACTTTAATTCTGTCAATAGCCAGCTTTTTAAAATAAAAACCTCACAGTTCTCCTGGTGAAACAATGGTCTACCAGCATCCCCATCCCACGCTGATGCACTCAGGGCAGGAAAACCACACTGCTCCACCACCTTCCAACCTGGTCCCTTTACTGCAGACACAGCCCATCGTCATCATCATCTCTGGCACTTTATGCTGACTACTGCGAAGGTGTTGGGCTGGACTATTTACCTGACCCAGCACAGCTACCTGTACAGTAATTTATTAGGCAAATATCAGTATGAGCATTAAGGGACAAGTAGGGAAAAAACCCCAGAGAATCTAATGCTGATACTCTACAGAATGGCCAGAGAAGGAAGAGTGGCTCAGGATTCTCTCAAGGGAATGTGAAAAAGAAAGGCTGACATTGCTGTACCTGTCATTTTCTAATCAAGGAACTCCTTCCAAAATACAGAATATGCATATTCCTGTTATTTTGGACTTCAACTTGGTTCCAGTACGACAATGCTCATTCTTAAGAGGAAAAAACCCAAACCAAACCAAACAAACCCCATGAAGTTCATCAGCTAAATCATCTTTTAACTTCCAAAGCATTTTGGAGTAGTTTCCGAGACAACCCACAAAAACTCTGGTTCGTCCTGCCTTCGAAAACCGAGCCGTAAGAATTAAATGATTATCTTAACTAACATTTTATTAGCAAACAATCTAACAGCAAAGCCAAATCTCTGTCGCCAAGATGTAAATCGTGACTGTGGTAATTACGCTTGCAAGACTAAAAACGGTGGCAAAATAACACTTGAAATGTGAGGTGTTCTTCAGCTTTTTTCTGATAAACACTTCAGAAACCTTCGAGGATTTGTTCTGGAGGATTGTTTCACTACGATTCGCAGCTCTCATTACCTGATATTGCTGTCCTCCATAACGTGAGACGTCTCCCCGCCGTCTCCTTCGTAAGACATCATGCTCTCTTCGTTGTCCATGCCCAGCCGGGTGTTCTCTTGCAGAACATGAGGTTGTTTAGGTCTCACCGCATTGGGCTCCACGTCCGAGTCGCTGCCGCTCTCGCTCAGCTGGATCGCTGTGTCACAAAGCAACACTTGGTCACGCAGCAGCAGTTTGCTTCTGCCCGTTACACCCCCCCCGGCTCTGTTTAAAGGCTACAACAGTGACGGTGAGGAAGCAGAAAGGCTCTCTGGGAGGTGGTAACACTGACCGAGTGCCCAATTCTGACGTTGCTCAAAAGCAATCTCACCACCATTACTCAAAAAGGCCTCTTTTTGCTTGTCTACTCCAAATAATTTCCCCTTCCTCTTCCCTAACCATTTTCAGAAGCCGTCATTAACCACCACCATGAGCTTTTCTGCGCGGCAAGTTTTTTGGTAGAACAGGAACACAACCTGAAGGACCTGCATCCCCTCTTCCCGTTCTTGTAACACTGACCACGTCGTTTCACACCAAAATTAATGTTGTGCTTTTACTGACCTGCCCATCCCTGGCTCTGCACACCAGATCACAGTCCCAGTCTTTTCAGAACCATTTGCAGCTTCACTTTATGAAGTAAAACTGACCAGATCTTAACTCTGCGTTCTTTTGTGTCTGTACTCACAGCACTTGTATTCCACTTGGTTTTCCTTTCCATTTATGTTTATGCAGTTTTTTCATCTTGCCCTTTGGTCTTTTTCACTACTGGCCCACGTGGCCCACATACACCAGGTAGGCTCTAAACTCTCTACTGTGTGTTTTTATGATGGAAGCATGAGGAAAAGAGCTGGGTTTGTGAACAACCGGTTCCTGTTCAACCTTTTATGAAAAAGGACACCTACATGAGAAAGGATTATCTCCCTCTTCGTCACTCCCATCATCATCATCATCTTCCCCATCCGACATGAGCAGATCTTCATAGAGGACACTGGCCTGGGGCTGCTGGGCTGATCCTTCTTCTTCATCAGCAAGGTCACCATCCGCATCTTCAACCTCCTAGGTCAGACAGGACAGGGATGGCAAAGATCAAACAACTTATAAACTACTGCCATTTCCAGCATGCGCCTCTTATTTATTGCACTGTTCATTCTGAAGTATTCACTCATTCCATAATGCTGTGATTTTAAAACTACATTTAAGAACCTGGCTATTGCTACTGCTGCCTTTCAGGGTGGCAGACGCAGCAGCCAACCCTCATACGATGGAGATTTCTCCAAGCATGATGCAAGTAAATGATCTTGATGAGGGGATTGAATGTAC